AATACTAGTGTCAGAACAAAGATTGGCTCTGGAAAACGAACAGAGGACGACAAAGATGAACCCACGTATCAGAAATCTTCCATATGAGGATAGACTGAGGGCCCTGAATCTGCACTCTCTCGAAAGGCATAGAATTAGGGGTGATATGATCGAGATGTATAAATGGAAAACAGGAATAAATAAAGGGGATGTAAATAGCGTGCTGAAAGTTTCCAGCCAAGACAGGACTCGCAGCAATGGTTTCAAGTTGGAAAAATTCAGATTCAGGAAGGATATAGGAAAGCACTAGTTTGGTAATAGAGTCGTGGATGAGTGGAACAAACTCCCGAGTACAGTTATTCAGGCTAAAACGTTGTGTAGTTTTAAAAATAGCACTAATGATGCAATTGTAAAAATGCTAGATCTGCTTTACACAGCATTGGAAAATAAGGAATATCCACTAGGAATTTTTATTGACCTAAGAAAAGCTTTTGACACAGTAGACCACAGCATCCTACTCCACAAACTTGACCATTATGGTATAAGAGGCCATGCACTTGCATATTTCAAATCCTACCTTACTAATAGGTATCAGTATGTCACCATTAAAGACACAGCATCATCAACATGGCCACTTGATACTGGAGTTCCACAGGGAAGTGTCCTTGGACCCCTGCTCTTCCTCGTTTACATCAATGATCTTCCAAACATATCCCAACACTGGAAACCCATTCTCTTTGCCGACGACACGACTTATGTCATCTCTCACCCTAATCTTGCCACCCTCAACACCATTGTTAATGAGGAGCTGCTCAAAATATCAACTTGGATGACAGCCAATAAACTTACACTTAACACTGACAAAACCTACTATATTATGTTTGGTAGCAGAGCAGGTGCTGCACAACTAAACATTAAGATTGACAGCACTCTAATTCCCAGACATAATGAGGGCAAATTCCTAGGCCTATACCTCGACAACCTGAATTTCAGCACCCATATCCAACACATATCAAAAAAAGTATCCAAAACAGTTGGGATCCTCTCCAAGATATGATACTACGTGCCGCAAAATGCCCTTCTCACACTATACCATTCACTCACTTATCCATACCTCACCTATGCTATTTGTGCTTGGGGATCAACTGCAGCAATACACCTAAAGCCAATAATAACTTGACAAAAAGCCGCAGTAAGAATAATCACTAAATCCCATCCCTGGCAACACCCCCCCCCCCAACTCTTCATAGATCTAAACTTACTCTCTGTTCAGAACATCCACACTTACTACTGTGCAATCTACATATACAGGACCTTAAATTCCAATATTAACCTTGACCTAAAATGCTTTCTTGATAGTTTTGACAGGACCCACAAGCATAACACCAGACACAAACATCTCTACGACATTCCCCGTGTCCGACTAAATCTATACAAAAATTCAATGCACGTCAAAGGCCCTAAAATCTGGAACACCCTACCTGAAAACTCTAGAACTGCAGACACATTCATCACCTTCAAAACTACCGTTAGAAAACATCTTATCTACCTGATACACCCTGTCAACTAACTACATAAAAACCACCTGGTGGTTCACACTTACACTTGCTCACTCACCCATTTGACTATAAGCACAGAAATACGTATCTTAATCTTAAAATAATGATTCCTAACTAGTCACAAGTTTGCCTGTGATACTCTAATATAGAAACTATGTATTGTGCCAAAACAAAAGCATTCACATTGCTAAACTCACAAACTAGTATTTAGTCACTTAGTATTTAGTCAACTTACTCCACAATTTGTAATAATTTAGGGTTAAGAATTAATGTAAGTTTGCCCGAAATGCCTAGCCTTGCTAGGTGTTCTAGTGGCCCCCTCTGTAATTAGTATTTTATTACATATAAACCACACAATAACCAGAATCTGTAAACCCGGCATTGTAACCTTATAGAGAATAAACTTTGATTTGATTTGATTAGATAAATACATGAGTGGGTGTGGGTGGGTGTGAGTTGAACCTGACCAGCTTGTGCTGCTGGGTCTGGTGCCATCCTCCATCCTTGAGTGACCAGACTATGTGGGCCATTGCGCTAATCCGGGGGAGGGGGGGCATGGACCTGCTCCGCATGGGTCAGTAGGCCTGTTGCAGTATTCCTTCTTTCTTATGTTCTTATGAAATGACAAGAACTATACTATAAATTGTAATTATCAGAACATAAAAATTATATAAAATAATATGAAAAAGAGAAAAAAAAAAAGGTATATCGGCAACACTTCTGCAAGTGGCAGGACTGGAGGTTGCCGTCAGGTGAGCATCCAGTGCCAACTTCTCGGCCTCATATCTCCGAAACTCGTTCTCAGGGTCGGCCAAATTTAAAAAAAAAAAAAAATTATTTTCTCTTATGAAAAGATAGAGAATCTTTTCCCGATCATAAAGACACCAAAAGTTTGAAATTTGATAGAAAACTTACGGAATTATGCTCTCGCAAAGTTAGCGGTCTCGGCGATGTTTACGCATCGGCGATTTTGCCCACTTTGAGCCCCATTTTCGGCCAATTTCACTGTACCAGTCGACAAAAAAACATGAATATTTCGCTAGAACTCCATTTTTTCTATCGAATGGGTGCAAGAAACCACCCATTTATGAAATTCAACTATCCAGTACAGTGGTCAGAATTTAGCAATTTTGCCAATTTCACACAAATTTCAAAAGATGCCAATTTCCGAATAGGGTCCAGAATAAACAAGAAAGATATTCCTGGCACTAAAATGACATTTCCTCTAGTCATTAGTCACGTCTCAAGGCCCCTCTTATATTCTTTTGCTTTCCACAAAATATATAAGATTTACTGTTATGCAGACTACTGCATTAGTGTAAAAAATGGTATAAATATTATTGGTGCACTTGTGAAAGAATATTAGACTCACCAGTTGACGTGTATTGCACGCTTGGCACGATTTGTTTACTTTTGAAGTTTGGTAAAAATCGAACATTTCTGCTACTTTGAGCTCAATTTCAAGGCACCTTTCATTGTAAAACCAGTCAAAATCATCTCAATTTCTGTAATATGTCTTCCATTCTATAAAATGAGACCAAGAAAACTAGAATACAACAATAAATACCATACGAAAATACACTGCAAAGTCGCTGATTTATTCCAAAAAAATGGTCAAAGTTTTTTTTTTCTCATTATGCACTGTGTGCTGCAGGATTTTTTTTAGACTGTGCACACTGACCACATAGACCCATTCTTTCATATGAAGGCCTACCAGCTTTCTCCCACTAGATTTGAGGCCGCTAGAATTTATGCGTACTAGTACGTCAAAAACCCCTACGCGTAAGACGTACTAGTACGACCAAAACCCTCAAAGGGCTAAGTAATGACCCTATTTTGTTTTTTATCCTATAACACTTAGAAAAATGTGCTCTTTATTTCCATAAAAAAAATTATTTTTCAAAATATTTGGTGCACTGGGGTAGTGAACGTATATATACGTTTGGCCCATTTATGGGTTAAATCTCCTCCACATCATTAAAACATGGAGATCTTTTTGGCCAGAAAACAATGGTCTTTATGGTTTTGAATCAGCAAGTGGGGCACAAATTTAGCAGCCACTCATGTCATGTTCAAGGTTTCAGTCAAAATTCTTTGATATAACCTGTAAGAAATTCCCACAGCACTTGCAATGTCCTGGATACCATGACAACAATCTTTGAAAATAGCTTTTCTCACAGGTGCCGGATCAACCAGGCTGTGATGGATATGTGGGGCAGCAGGCCACCAGCAGCAACAGCCTGGTTGACCAGGCAAGTACCAGATAAGCCTGGCCCATGGCCGGGCTCCAAGAGTAATAAGACTCAAAACTCGTCAAAAGTATATCAAAGGTATAAAGATACTTTTTCAATGTTGACATCTGTTTTTGAAGTTGATGGATGACCAGAGCATTCATCATGCTTAACTGACATTTGTCCTGCTTTGAATCAAGAAAACTGTTGAGAACAATGTATCCAACCCATTGCTTCATCTCCAAATACCTGCTGAAATATTTGCCGAGTTTCACTAGCTGTTTTATCAGGTTTGAAACAGAGTATCTCACACACACACGCTTTCTTTTTTAAAGATTCCATTCTGTTGTACAAAAAAATTGCAATAACACCCTTACATTACAAAAAATGCCCATCTAACTTTAATGGAATGACTGACTGCACTGAAACTCGCCACGTTACTTCACAAAATAGTGTACTGCACAGCATGATCTACGTTGTCACCATATTTCACCTAGGAAATGCGCAAAAATTTGTGTATGGGAACTATGATAGCACCTCGTAATTACACATTCTCTTGCCTTTTATGGTGAAACAGTTACCTGAGAAAGAACTCTACAACTGCTATGTATACTTTCTATTGTACTGATAAGAAAATAATAAAGAGCAAGAATGTAAAGAAGAAAAAGATGTCACACTTTATTTCATTCCTGATTGACATGGAATTCCCAAAATAGTCATAAATCTAATTAGGATGTAATTCTTCAGAATGTGTTAATTACTATACCCCCTTTTCTTTTACAGTTTTTTTTTTTTTGGTCACTTTGAAATGAAAAAGAATGCTCAACTATAAAATATTAATCAAAATAGAAGTATAGTGTAAAAACACTACAGTGGTCAGTTTGGCCTTTGATATCTATCTGAAATCTTGAGTTCTGAACCAAATAAATGTACTTACAAATCTCTTGAATAAAAATGATGCTTACCAAATATTTTTGTTTCATTCACTTCAGATATCTCGAGAAGCCTGTTACATATCGACTTGAAACTTACACATTTTGTGTATGCTAAATGAAAATATCATTGTACTTTTATACTGCATTCCACCAAATGCTTTTTTGTCTCCTGCCAAAGCAGGGCGATCCAAAGATCAAAACACAATCAAAATAATTTATTTAATTATTGTCTTTTTCTTTATATAAAGTTTATTTGATAGGATTATGCATGGTAACAGTTTTATATTGAGACTTACTTAGTTAAAGTATCTTTGTCCTCTGAAAGTTGTGTCACATAGGTGTTATTCATGCTTCCCATGCGAGATTTCAGACTGTGTCTTGTCTTCTGTAGTACATTCTTGATTGGTAGAATGTGACCATACTCTTGCAATGCATGACACAGGTCAGTAATATACCACGATCCTAAATTTAAAGAATAGACAGGAAATAATACTTTAATTTTAGAAACAAAATACCGAGTAGACTTATGTAAAAATTTCATATTTACTACCCATAAATGTATTCACCAGATCACTGCAAAAAGTTGCAAAGTGACATAGCTGCTTAAAATACTATACAGGTCCTCCATCACAAATCCGGCATCATTGGGACCTGTAGTGTGCCGGATTACTGAGTTTGCCGAATTACAGAGTGGTTAAGTTAGAAAACGCTTAATAAAATTAACCAACTTGACTTACACAGTTCAATGAACATCGGCAAAAATCAAACATTTCCGCTACTTTGAGCTCAATTTCAAGGTACTTTTCGTCATGAAAGCAATCAAAATCATGTCTATTTCTGTAATATATCTTCCATTCTATCAAATGAGTCCAAAAAATGAGAATACAATCATAAAAACCATACGAAAATATACTGCAAAGAGGCGGCTAATGGCTGAGAAGTTAACTCTCTTACTTATCGTCCGTCTTTTTTATTTTTGTTGTACGTTAAGAAGCATCTTTCCGTCATACATTCCCCAAGTTTCAATGAGATAGCCCAACAAACAACTGAGAAAAAAAAATATTTACCAAAAATCATATATGGCAAGCCCAAGCCAGGTACTGGAAATAAGTCACTTTGTCTGACTTTTCTGGGTTATCCTAGGTTCTCTATACATACACTGCTATGTATGATAATCTATGTAACTGTATTTGTGTATACCTGAATAAACTTATTTACTTCTAGTCTGTCAACTTAGTACAGTACAAAAAACCACCCATTCACTTATTTCAACTACCCAATAAAGTGGTCAGAAATTGGCGATTTGGCTGATTTCACACAAATTTCAACATATGCCAATTTGAAAATAGGGTCCAGAATAAACAATGCAGACATTCCTGGCACTAAAATAACATTTTCTCTGTTCATTAGTCATGGCTACAGGCCCCTCTTATATTACTCTTGCTTACCATTTAGAATTTTTATTCACAAAAAAAAAATAAAAGATTTACTCTTATGCAGACTACTGCATTATTGTAATAATTGTATAAATAATGTCAATCCATTCTTGACTCCGTACTGGAATTTAGACTGGCAGGCGGACAAGGTATTGGACGGTGACGTCATTTGTTTACTCTTGAGCTTCGCTAAAGAATAGAACATTTTCCTTACTGTGAGCGCAATTTCAAGGTACTTTTTGTCATGAAAGCAATCAAAATCATATCTATTTCTGCAATATATCTTTCATTCTATCAAATGAGACTGAAAAAATGAGAATATAACCATAACAACCATACAAAAATATACCGCTAAGCGGCCGCTAATGGCTGAGAAGTGAACTCCACTATTTATGGTCTGATTTCTTTCATTTTTGGTGTACGTGAAGAAGTATCTTTCCACCGGATCACCTATCACAAAGCTAACAGAGGGAAAATTCTTAGGAATCCACCTTGATAATAGACTCAAATTTCATACACATATACAACAAATTTCTAAGAAAATTTCCAAGACTGTAGGCATACTATCGAAGATACGGTACTATGTTCCACAGTCAGCCCTCCTGGCCCTATATCACTCTCTTATTTACCCCTATCTCACCTATGGAATTTGTGCATGGGGCTCAACAACAATTAACCATCTCAGACCACTAATTACCCAACAAAAGGCTGCAGTTAGAATGATAACAAATTCTCACTACAGGCAGCACACTCCACCAATATTCAATACACTAAACCTACTCACCATACAAAACATCCATACTTATTACTGCACCTATTACATACATAGAACACTTAACTCTGATATTAACCCTCCCCTCAAACATCTCCTTGCCAACCTCAACAGAACACATGACCATAACACAATGCACAGATCACTCTTTGATGTTCCTTGTGTCCATCTCACACTATGCAAAAACTCAATGCACATAAAAGGCCCTAAAATCTGGAATTCATTACCTGTAAATATAAAAGAAACACTACCTGTTTATAAATTCAAGTCTCTTCTCAAAGATCACTTACTCACCCAAAACCAAATAAATACTGAATAACTGAACCTTATAAATTGTATATCTTAAATGTTTCTCACAATTATATCACATAAATGTTAAACCTAAAACCCAATCTAACTTTATTATTTTTTAAATACACTACCTAACAGAATACTCCATACGACTGAATGTACAACAATGCATGCAACCATATGACCTGTCTTTGTAATACTCATTTGTGCTTTATAGTTATCTGTTTACAAAAATGTATTATCACTGATTTCATCATTGCTTAGTTAATTTTAAGCCAGCCCGAAATGCTATGCATAGTATAAGTGGCTTTGGCATGCTGCTCTTATCTGTATTTTTTTTGTACCTCTGTATGTATGCTCAAATTGTTAATAAATAAATAAATAAATCATACATTGCCCAAGTTTGAATAAGATAACCCAACAAACAACTGAGAAAATAATAATAATAATAATAATATCTTTATTTACTACACGTACATGTACAAGGTGTACAGGCCTAGCTGACATCAGTGACATACTACTGTATAGAAAGGCACTTGTTATGCTGAGTATTTCAAGAAAATTAGGTCAGTGTCCCAGGATAACACCCACACTAGTCGACTAACACCCAGGTACCCATTTACTGATGGGTAAACATAGACAACAGGTGTAAAGAAACACGCCTAATGTTTCTACCCTGGCTGGGAATCGAATATTTACCAAAAATCATATATGGCTAACCCAAGCCAGGTACTAAAAATAAGCCACGTTGACTTTTTTTTGGGTTATCCTAGGTTCTCTACACATATGCTGCTATGTGTGATAATCTATAGAGAGAAAATAACTTTTTTGTTTCATGTTTATGGTGGAGTACGAGTGTATATCATAGTTAGCCCTGTGCTATACTCCATTTTCTCTAATATAAGCCACCAAGACAAGGATAGGAGAATGGTATTGTTTACCATATCCTCTACATAACTCTGTCGAACTGCTCGGTGTTATGCCAAATATTATTCATTCTGGAGTATTTAACATGTTTTATGTTATTTATATTGTTTCTTATGTCATATTAGATCAATTGTGATAGGCAAATAAGCTGTAGTGTTGATATTAGCGTAATAATAAAGCATATTCTCCTGCTTCATGAGACTGAGATCATGGCAACCGACAGTGGCTTCAAAGCCACCTTATCTTTAATGGATAATGTACTGTGTAGGTGCTTTACATAATGAGAAGCATTTCTTTTATTCATTGGAACCATGGCTAGGGCTAAAAGTAAGCAGGTTAAAACAATAAATGGAGAAAAAGAAATTGGAATGACTTATGCAGCAAGTAGCGCCACCAAACAGTACCAGCAGGTTGGTGTGGCGACCCTGGAAATTTAAAATTATGCTAGCCAAAATTAGTGCCGAATAACTGAAGGAACCGAATAACTGATTGCCGGATTTGTGATGGCGGACTTGTACTCTGCTTTTAGAAACTTATGTTCAAATGTAACCCCCACAGGTTGTGAAGAAGTGTACCAGAAAAATTAACTATCATACTAACCTTCTGTCTGGCTTCTTACAGCTGAGTAGCCTTTCACAGTAGCAGCCGAAATAAGGCAGTCACTTTCTACATGAGTAACTGTGCAGGTATCTTGTTGAAGGAGTATTGCTAGAAAAGATACAAATATTTTTTTAAAAATACATTTGCTGTTTCCTATCAAGTTTGTAAAGCCCAAAAAATAAGCAAATTAAAGGGAGGAAAATGCAATTAGGTAACTATATGATGTACTGCATATCTTACGTACTCAATTCTGCACTCTACTGGTCTACAGGTTACCTACATATTTTCAGTATGAGCCAAGTTCAGGCCTTCCTGGTGAATACTTGATCAACCAGTACAAAACACCTTCACACCTAAAGAAACCTGCCATTTTTTTATTTTGGAGTTACCCTTAGTTAACCCTGCAAATTTTTTTTTTTGTATTTTCTTTTTTGTAATAGGTTCAAAGTTAGGGATAACAGATGGTAACATGCCCTTTGGTCTGAGGGACAGTAGTTGCAATTCAAATGTGTCTTACTACACACTTCCTACAGTACAAGTAATTAAAGATATTTGCCTTGATTAGTCTTATTAAATTGTTAAATTATTATTATATTCATGGGAAGCATTAAACCTGTAAGGTTCATACAATGCTGGGAAATAGGAGGCAATCAGATCTGATCCAAGGAAGGGAAGCTCGAGTTCCTTGAATCAAGAGTTCTTCGTCAGCATCAAGGCATTTCCTAAGAAGGGATGAATTGTCAGACGACTTTAGAAATGTTAAATGACAAACTAAAATATTCACTTGTAAGAAAAATAAAACCAAATTTAGATTCAAGTAATATTATTAACCTAACTAAATGCAAGGATACAACAATCAAGGAAGAGAGGGGGAAAGGAAAGTGTCTTAGACAAGATAAATGAGGTTCTTGACAAACCCATGTTAAAAGTTTAGGAGAGACCTTACTTTCTAGAAGATAGATCACTCTATAATAGGTCATCTTGTAACATGGCCAGTCTTAAACCAGAGGACAGATGGTATGAATATCATAAAATTGGAACATTTAGCAACAAAGAAATTTACAAAAAATAAAGGGAGAAGTAAAAGCTCAGAGTTTTCACCTTTGCATACACTGATATATATTTTCAAGGAAACGGTGTAAAAAAGAAATCTGTACTAAAATTAACTTAGAGCAATGTTAGGTGAGGTTTATCGAATATATTTTTAACTGAATACTTCATTGCTTAGTTAATCTTAAGTTAATTTTAAGCCTGCCCGTAATGCTATGCATTCAAGTGGCTTTGGCATGCTGCATTTAACTATTCTTTTGTACTTCTCTGTATCATGTTCAAATAAATAAATAAGTAAATAAATAAAAATTAGCCTCATCCTACAGAGCTTATCTCAGGTGGTACAAAGTGGAGTATCTGAATAGCCAAGGAGAAGTGACTATAATGGTATAGGATAAGGAAAATGATGCCCCAATGTTTGTAACTACACTTTAGTAGAACTAATACTTACGTCTCAGAGCTTGTTCACCTCGGCATGCTTGAACAAAATACAGTCTTGGTTTGTTCAGAAGAGCCTGACTGAAACATAACTTGCGAATATCTGTGATGGAAATGCAAGACCGATCATGCAAGTAGAGCTGATCTGCAAAATGGTAATTTTCAATCTGGGTCAAGAAGTAATTCTATTTGTAGGTAAGATATGTTTGGACATCTATACATAAATAATGATATTCTCTAAAACAGCAATTAATAGCAATAACATGTTTATATGATGGAAATTAAATTTTATAACCCTGAGGCAGCAGATCTACCCAGCAGGACGCTGGTGTATCATCAACCCCCATCACCGCCGCCACCCAGGGAACAACAACAAACATGGCTGACTCCCCCTCCAACTCCACTCCCTTCAAAGGATTCACCCATGATAACTCAGGTATGATTATTCCTGACAATATCAAGGACTACATCGTTGCTCTAGAAAATGAAATCAAAGATATCAAAGCAACACTCGAGCGACGAGAATCCAAGATAACCAACCTCGAGAATAAGATCCAAAACCTTGAAGAGAAGATTACATCGGGAAGTGTTGACACAGAAAATACTCTAAAAGCAGCTATAGCCAGTCACACTGAGCAAATAACAACAATAAATATGAAGGTTGAAGAAGCAATCAAGGACTGGAATCAGAACATGCACACTCGACTAAATGAATACCTTGTTTTTCCAAGACGAAAAAAACAGAACAAGATAAGTTGTCTGATGCAGTTATAATAAACAGTCCACACATTCCTAGTGACATAACACAAGCACAGTTGCAAAGAAACTGCTATCAGGATAATACAGAACCACGTACAAGTCATCGTGCAAAACAATTAAATCAAAGAAACACGTTTGCTAGGAAAACCAGGAAGTAAACACAGTACAGTGACCACTCTTCAACGATGACCTTAAATGCACAATTAATGTAAAGGGTAGTTTATCATAATGCGTGTCTAACAACGTGTATGTTCAGGGGAACTTAAAAGGAAACAAATCATACTTCACCAATACAGTGGAAACATCAACGGTTAACGAACTTTTTTCATTTCCAGTCAGTATGTTTTCAGGGCCAAAGTACGGGACCGAATTTTTTCCAAAAAAAAAGTAATTTTTCCATTTCAGAGATCCAAAGATAACAAAAAGTACAAATTGGAAATTACAAATTTAACTTCACAAAATTTTGGTTCGCATTTTAGAGGCGATCGTTAAGCGGGGTCCCTGTTTCCTTTATGGGAAAATTCGGTCAGTCTGCACTGACATATACTGGAATGAAAAAAGTTCGTTAACCGGGTCCACGTAAATGATCGACTTCATCATACAAAAGAAGGACCTATAAATCAGCATTACAATAAAAATGGAGTGTACATAAATAGTGTTAACAAAAAAAACGTCAAAACCTCGTCACTGAGAACTTAAAAGGAAAACAAATACATCAGTGTTTCACGCGAGATGGAAAATGCTATAAGGAAAACTCAACAGGACAACATATACCCTCAACGAAATGATTTCTTACCTTCCTTAGAAAGCTGACATTCTGTACAGATTAGTAAGTGCCTTAATACATATATACTTTTTTTTTTATTATACCCGCCGTTCCACCAGCGGTGGCCCGCAAAGAAAAACTTTCACCACATCCCCATCACTGTCTTGCCAAGGGTGCTTCACTACGTTTTAACTGAACATTAACACCTCCTTCAAGTCAGGCACTGTACTCCATCTCCAGACTTCAGTCCGGCTTGCCGTTTCCCTGAATCCTTCATAAATGTTACTTTCACACATCCAACAGCACTTCAAGTATTAAACCATTTGTCTCCATTCCCCCTATCAAACACGTCAAGCATTGCCTGCTGGAAGTCAAGCCCCTCGCACACAATACCTCCTTTACCCCCCCCCCCAACCCTTCCTAGGCCGACCCCTACCCCCCCTTCCTTCCACACAGACGATACACTCTTGAATCATTCTGTTTCGCCCATTCTCTCTACATGTCCAACCACCTCAACAACCCTTTCCCTCAGCCCTCGGACAACTTTTTGGAAATCCCCACCTCCCCCCTAACTTCCAAACTAAAATTCTCTGCATTTATTCACACCACACATTGCCCTCAGACTACATCCCCATTTGTCCACCCTTCTCCTCCTGCAACTTTCACCCCCACGCTTCACACCCATATAAGAGCGTTGGTAAACTATACTTCATCATTCCCCTTTTTGCCCCCAAAGGGGACAAAGTTCTTTGTCCCCACAATCCTAAGTGCACCACTCACTCTTTTTCCCTCATCAATTCTATGATTCACCTCATCTTTCATAACCCATCCGCTGCCCGTCCATCCCAAATATCTGAATACTTCCCCTCCCCCAATACTCTCTCCCTCCAATCTAAATTTTCAATCTTTCATCACCTAATTTTTTTGTTATCCCAAAACCCTTTACTTTTTCCTGTATTCCCCCTTTAATTTTCTTTTTTTTGGGCACACCTACCAATTAACCACCAATCTCTCAATTTCCTTCAGAATCTCCCAAGAGCACAGTGGTCAATCACAAAGAGCACTTGACAACTCCCACTTTGTGTGTATTCTTTATCTTTTAACTCCAGCCTTTTTGCCAAAGACCCTCGCATTTACTTCTCTTACAACCCATCTATAAATATATAAACAACCACGGTGACATCACACACCTTGTCTAATGGCCTCTTTTACTGGGAAAAAAATTTCCTTTTTCCTACTTTACTCAAACTTGAGCCTCACTATCCTCGTAAAACTCTTCACTGCTTTCTGTAACCTACCTCCTACACCATAACATTGGCAACATCTGCCACATTGCCCCCATCCACCCTGTCAAAACGCCTTTTCCAATCCAAAAGCCACAAGACCTCTTTAGCCTTATCTAAATACTGTTCACTTATATGTTTCACTGTAAACCCCGGGTACCACACACCCCTTAACCTTTCTAAAGCCTCTTGTTCATCTGCTATCCTATTCTCCGTCTTACTCTTATATATACATATATACGTGTGGTGCATATAGTGTATGTTACTATTATATTGTGCATTATTATTTTTTTTAAAATTTTTTCATCACTAGCTAATGCCCCCACTACCTCCAATACTCTATACTTCTTTCTTACTGCTATTAATTGCTCATAATTTTAAATTACAAGTCAAATCTTACTCCAAAATTTAAAATAATATTCATTATTTTTAAACCTGTCCATTTAATTTTTTTTTTTTTATCACTACTTGTTTTTAGTCACTTTTCATTGTGTACAATTGTATATATTCCAATTACATTTTTGCAAGTAACAAAACTATCTTTTGCTAGCTAGTACCAACTACCTCATTTTTTTTACTTTTTATTGTGCAATAAACTGCTCAATTTATTTAATATTACAAATCAAATCCTACTCCTAAACCAATATTATTTCATAGTGACCATCTGTCCATTTAACTTTGTTTACCACTACTTAATTTTAGCCCCTTTATATATTTTCTCCTTTATTTTAGCTTTATATAACTACCCTAGTTTATATATTCACAATTGTTAAAATAATCAAGGTGCTATTCTCAGGTGCTAAAGTAGAATAAGTTCACAATTTTGCCATTATATTCCAAAGCTCATTTATTTGATTACCACTTTATTGTTCACCACAACTTATATTAGTCCCTTTTATATTATAATTTTATACTAAAATTTCTAACTTTAAAGAATTACCTTTATAGTACTACCTACTATCATATTCCCAAGCTCCATTATTTGATCATCATTTTATTTGTTTTTGTCCCTTTTATTTTGTCTCCTTTATTTTAGTTTAAAAAAAAAAAAAAAAAAACACTACCTAGCTCATTATTTTACATTTGTTAAATAATTCAGGTGCTATTTTTAGCTTAAGACTATTTACCTTGTTTTATACTTAATTCTAACTATAGATTCACTACAAATCTTATGATTACAAGCATTGATCCTGATACCAACCTCTTTTTTAAAATGACTTAAATGAATCAAAACAGTTACTGTAATTACTACACTCCCAGAACAATCAAAGGCACTTCTCAGTGCCAAACAACATAACTATTTTTAAAACACAATATCAGATCTTTAAGCAAGCATTACGATGACCTCATAGCATTACTAAATTCCTTACATGCCAATATGTCCTTTCATTACACTAACTAAAACCCTGGTTTAAACCCTGATAGTACAGATGTCTATCCCATTCCTGGTTACACAGCCATACACAACTGTAGGCCAGACCAACAAGGGGGTGGCCAGCCATATACTACTCAGACCAACTAGAAGTATCACTAATACTTGCACAAGGGATGAACATGGGGAATATATAATAGCCAAATTTCAAATCCAAATACTACAAAAACCTCTCACATTGATAAACATCTACAGAGTTCCACAGTCCAAACATTAGCCAATTTAGTCAAAACCTAGGAAGTATGATAACTGATGCAGCATGAAAAAAGATCACTTACTACTCTCAGGTGACTTCAATATAAATCTCCTGCAAGACCAGGACCCACACGTTACTGAATTCACAAAAACAATGAGAACTGTATGTTGCTACCAACAGTAACAAACCTACAAGAGTTACAAAGACCATGTTTCCCTACTTGACCACATCTGGACCAACAAACCCTATCCCCCTTTAAATTCAGGCATAATTACAGATAATACCACAGACCACTACCCTACTTTCCTCATAACAATCTTGGTAAACTACCCCAAGACACTACTAAAGTCACCTTCAGACTTCACAATGAGGGCAGCCTAATAAAATTCACAACAGCAGTAGCAAACATTGACTGGCACACTGAGCTAGAAATCTATACAGATATTGACGAATGTATTAATAATTTTATAAAAAAGACCCAATACCTCTATAACAAGCACTGCCCTAAAAAAACTAAACAGATGACAGCTAAGAGACTGAACAGTCCCTGGCTAACACCCAGCATTCTCAAAATCCATAAATACAAAACACCAATATGAAAACAGACAGAATGGGGGCACATAACCAGAGACCAAACAAAACGTTACTCGTCAATCCTAACCAGCCTGATAAGAAGGGCAAAAAAATTGTAATATGAGGAACAGATTAT